CATGGAACAGCTGGTAGTTTCGAACTGCTGACCGTGAGATTAGCAGCCCGATTCGTAACCACTATACTTCCAGAGCCTCTTATTCATAGATAAACATACATGTATATATGGTGGTGGTTATGTGCCCTGGAGTCGGTTCCGACTCATAGTGACCCTGTATAGGGTTTCCGAGGCTGTAAATCTTTACGGGAGCAGAAAGCCTCATCTTTGTCATGCGAAACAGCTGGTAGTTTCAAACTGCTGACCCTGAGGATAGCAGCCCGACTCGTAACCATTACACTATATTTGTCTTTCTGGTTGTGTCTTTCTCCATCTCGGTCTCTTTTTAATCTTTCAATCTCTATCCATCTCTCTTTCTCTTCATCTCTATCTCTGTTTTTTCCTACATATCTATCTTCATCTCTCTCTCTGTTTGTTTCTGTCTTTTAGCATTATTATTACCTCATTCTTGTCTCTCTCCATTTGTGCTTCTCTCCCTGGGCACCTGGTGGCCGCCTGGCAGGAACTCGGCAAGCACTGGGCTGAGGACTCAGGCACTGGGGGCCGGGAGCTGGTGGAGGAGGCAATTGTGTCTATGACAGCGGTGGCCTGGTACATCAACGACATGAAGCGCAAGCAGGAGCATGCCGCACGCCTCCAGGTGACCTCAGTGGGCTGGGCCGGCTGACTGGATGGGAGTTGGGGTAGAGATTTCAAAGGTGGGCTCGGAGGGCACATTCCTGTGCTGATTCTCTCACCCTTCCCCCCCCCCTGGTTTTGGCATGTGTGTGCCGCCCACCTGTATGTGCCCGTGCCTGGCACACTTGGCGGTGTCCTGGCAGGAAGTACAACGACGACTGGTTGGCTGGACTGGCCCAGAGCTCAGCGCTTTTGGGGAACTGGTGCTAGAGGGGGCCTTCCGAGGTGGTGGAGGTGGCGGCCCCCGGCTGCGAGGGGGTGAGCGGCTGCTCTTCCTGTTCTCACGGATGTTGCTCGTGACCAAGCGCCGGGGGCCGGAATATACCTACAAAGGCCACATCTTTGTGAGTTGAGCTAAGCCATACCTACCAAGTAGTCCTGTAGTTGTGTACACATGTACCCAAAGGGGTGGGTGGACGGGGTCTGCCTAGAGAAAGTGCCTGGTTTAAAAGGATCACATTTCCTTTAGCCCAATGATAGGGGGCAAGGATTATTAGGGAGGAGTATGGTATAGCAGGGCAAGATTTTAGGGTGGGATGTGGTTTATCAGGGCCGAACAGGGAAGGCGCCCCCATGGAGCACTTGTTGGTAATGTAGATAGGGGTGGGAGGGACTGTGAGGGAGAGCACTGGGGCCAGCTTTGGGGCCAGGGTCAGCTGGGAGAATCGCTTCTACCATTCAGCCTTATGGGGCCCAGATCCTCCTACAGTGGTTGTGCTGTGGTATCAGAGGTCTTGCCCACCCTCTCTACCCCCATGTCTAGTGCTGCAACTTGAGTGTAAGTGAGAGTCCTCGTGATGCTCTCGGTTTCAAGGTGTCGGATCTGACCATTCCCAAGCACAGACACCTGTTCCAGGTGAGTCCAGGCTGGGGCTGGGCACATGGGGTTCCCTCAACCCCCGGGTCTCACACCTAGCTCTCTGACTCCACCTTCTTCCCCACAGGCCAAGAACCAAGAAGAGAAGAGACTTTGGATTCATTGTCTCCAACGCCTCTTCTTTGAGAACCACCCAGCCTCCATTCCCGCCAAGGTCAGACTCTTGCCACAACTTGGGGATCCTCCCTCCACACCATAATACTAGAAGACCCTTGGAGTACAAGGGCACCTTCCTATATAATGTGATGGTTCAAAGTGCAAATGGCAGAGTCAGGCTGCCTGGATTCAAATCCCAGCTCCAACATGTCCCTGCTTTGTGACCTTGGACAAGTGACTTGTCTGTTATGGGCTCAAGCCCTCAATTGCTTCGCCTGGGATAATAATACACCTATCTTATAGAGTTGGGAGAAGGGTTAGTCTTCACCAGCCATGATGACGGCACCCCTCGTGTACTGCTTGGAGACTAGACCCCTTATCCTTGTCTCTTTCAGGCAAAGCAAGTTCTCCTTGAAAACAGCCTACACTGTGAGTTGGGGCTTTGGGTTGAGAGGATGTGGAAGTAGAGGAGTTATTTCCAGGAAAAAATGTGCTGTTAGCCCCCAAACTCTGTCCATAGGTGCTCCCAAGAACAAGCCCATCCCAGAGCCCCTGACGCCCCCACTTGGGTCTCCTCAACCTCGAAATGCTAGAAACTTCACTCCCGGACGAAGGAACACAGGTAAATGAGATGAGACTTCTAAATCCTAGCCCCAGTTTACTTTTCCACCAAGACTCAGGGATTACGCCTCTAGCCCCTTCTTCCCTTAGGAGCCTGAGGCTTTAGGCCTCAGCTCCCTGGGCCTCCTGGACCCTGGCTCATAACAGGGTCCTGACCCCGTATCTCCCATAGCTCCATCCCCAGGACCCTCCATGACCCGCCATGGACGCAGACAGTCTGGTAAGTACCCACCCGCTCCAAAGTTGTACCAGAGACTTGAGGTCCGCACACCATTTGAGATTCAAAGGGTCAGCATTTCCCCAAGGACAAAATTCAGAAGGGTTTGAAAAGAAGGAGGAGGCTTGGAAATCATAAACACAGGCAGGAAGTGGGATAAGCGATGTTACATTGAGGGATTGCAATCATTGAGATGAAACAAAGTGTGTGATTTGTTGGACTTAAAACTGGATCTGTAAACCGTCACACAATTCACAATCAAAAGTTTTGAAAAAAATGTAAGCCAGGGGCTGGAAGGCGGTTGGGGGGAAAAGGTCTGACACCACAGCTGTTGGAAACTCCCTTCTGTCCTATTGTTTCACAGACTGGTCAGTGACTGTCCCAGTTCAGCCTGTGTCTGTCCCCCCCAAGTGGGATGGCTGGGGATGATGGGTAATGAGGATTGGTTATAAGGAATAACTTGTTCCTGTTCATCATTCTTTTTTCTTCTTGCTTCTCCAGCCCCAGCTAAGCCCAGACCCAAGGTAAGAAGTATGCTCACCTGGGGGCTGAGATTCCAGGGTCTGATAGAGGAGGGGACTGGAGGGGGTTTGATTTTCAAACTCTTGAGTGTGAAGAAGGGGCTGGGGCCTTCAATGCGTTCATCTGAGGGAGAAGGGTTTGGGGCCCAGATTCGTGAGTCTGAGAAGGGGGTAAGGGTACCCATGACTCTTGTCTTCATTCCTTTTCCTCCTCGCAGCATGATGGCAGTGAGGGGCAACTGTTCCCCCTCATAGAGTCTCAGCCACCAGTTCCAGCTTCTGGACCTCCTCCCGAGGACCTGGAGGATGCCAGACCTCCCACTCTGGACCCTTCTGGAACCTCCATCACTGAAGAAATCCTGGAGCTGCTGAATCAGAGAGGCCTCCGGGATTCCGCGGTGAGCTGGGGTTCCCACCGCTGTGTGCTGGAGGCTCTGGACTCTGGCCAGCACAGACCAGGGTCCACCCACTCTGATACTTTGGTCTCTTTCCCAGTGCCCACAACCACCATCCTCCCATGAGGATATTGCCAAGTTCCCCAGAGACACCCAGGTGCCAAATGACAGCAACACCCTCGAATTCCAGGCCTTGCCCAGTCGGGACTCTTCAGAGGAGGAGGAGCTGGAGGTGGAGGTGGATGACCGAGAGCCTTCTCCTCTCCATGTCCTGGAGGGGCTCGAAACTTCCAGTGCTGAAATTCCTGACATTCCCAGCCTTCCCAGCCTTCCTGAAATTCCCGAGATTCCCCGCCTTCCTAGTCTCTCTGACATTTCCAGCGTTTTCGAAATGCCCTGCCTTCCAGCCATACCCAATGCCTCTGACATTGCCAGTCTTCCCAGATCTCCAACCCTTCCCTGTGGCTCCTGGCTCCAGGATCCTCTGAGGGAGCCAGATGACCCTCCGGCCACCAGGAGAGAACTGTTCCCAGGAAGTAAGTCTGGAAAACTGAGCGACTCCTCTTCAGGAAGCCAGGCAGGGCAGGAGGAGAATGAAGGGTTACTGTTTTCAGATTTCATGCCCAAGGAAATCACTGAAGAGTCGGGATTCCCAGGTGAGCTGGAGCCCGGCTCGTGCTCAGAAATCCGGAGTGCCTGGCAGGCGATGGAGCAAGGACAGCTGGCCCAGCCTGGCTTTCCAGAGCCACTGCTGATCCTGGAAGACTCGGATCTGGCTGGAGGCAGCAGAAGTGGGAAGGCAGGAACCCCAAGTGTGGCGAGGGCAGCCTCCCGGGTACGTGAGCTGGCTCGGCTCTACAGCGAGCGGATCCAGCAGATGCAGCGGGCTGAGACACGAGCATCCACCAACGCCCCCCGCCGCCGACCTCGGGTTCTGGCCCAGCCCCACCCGTCCCCCTGCCTGCCCCACGAGCAGGCCGAGCCAGGTGAGGGCTTGGCACGTGGTAGGCAAGGTGGCCCACGCTGTACTGCGGCATTATCCCTGACCCCTTATCCTCTGTACTTACAGGGTCCCTGCCTGCCTTTGGACACGTGCTGGTTTGCGAGCTCCCCTTCACACTCATCTGTGCCCAGGAATCTGTCCCCCTGGGCCCTGCTGCCCACATTCAAGATGCTGCACCTTTAACTAAACAGGGTGGCTGCCTGCATGGTCAGGGGCTACATGTTCCAGATTTGTCTGAGCAAGACCATCTGGGCAGCCCAATTGCTTCACCTGCAGCTGAACAAGGAGGCCTCCGAGATGCCCAGGTTCTGGCTACCACACGGTTGCTGACGCAGGAAGACCACTCAGACAGCCAGGCTCCGATTATCATAACTTCACCTGCTCAAGGAGACCACCTGCAAGTACACGATCCAGCCGCCGCTCCTTTGCCTGAGTCAAGAGACCACCTGGACATACAGGATCCAGCCTCCACTGTTCTTCCTGAACAAGGATGTCTTGTAGAGCTTCAACTTCCAGCGCCTTCAACTTTGTCCAAACAGGGAATTTGTGAGATCATGGCTTCAGCCACTGTGCTCAAGCAAGAAGCCTTCCCAAACAACCAGAGCCTCCCTAGCAGCCCAGTAACCGAGCAAGGAGACTCCAGGGGCATTCAGGGCCAAGCCATCAATCCCTTGGTTGGGCTCGGAGGCAGCGAGAATGATCAGACTTCAGCCAGCACCCCGCTGCCCTTGCCACATAACCTCAAAGACATGTCCGTGCCAGGTACCACACCTGTGCCTGCACCTAGAGGCCACTTGAACTGCCAGAACCCAGCCAATGCCCCCCCAGATGTTCAGGTGTCAGACATCACACCTTTGACTCTAGATGGAGATACCCTGAACTTACAGCTCCCAGCCAATGTTCCAGAGTCTTTGCCACAAGAACGTCCAGACGTTCAGGCGCTGGGTACCACATCTCTGTCTGCACATGGAAGCCGCCTTGATTACCAGATCCCTGCCTGCCCTCCATTGTCTTTGCCCCAAGACCTCCCACACAGTCAGTTTTCAGTGGCCACACCTTTGCCCCAGCCACAGGCCCTCACCACCATCCAGGTGCAAGCCCTCACAGCTCTGCCCAAGCAGGAAGACCTCCCGGACATCCAGAGCCCCAAACACACACCCCTGTTGGAACAGAGAAGCCTCACAAACATCGACGTTCCAGCGGCCACACGTTTGCCAGAGCATGGTGACACAGGAGACATTCTGGGCCTGTCACCCACTCCAGCTCAGACCCCCCTGGTTTTGTCCAAGCCAGGAGGCCACTCAGTCTGTCATGTTGCCAGGTCAGAGTCTGCAGACTTGACTCCACCCCAGAGCCCCCCGCCCCCCACCCGTCAGCTCCTAGGTCCCAATGCAGTTGCCCTCTCAAGATACCTAGCAGCCTCCTACATCAGCCAGAGCCTAGCCCGGCGGCAGGGTCCTGCAGGAGAGGTACCCCCAGCCTCCAGGGGCCCCTGGTCCTCCTCTGCTCCCACATCACGGGCACCGTCACCACCACCCCAGCCCCAGCCCCCACCACCTCCAGCCAGGCGACTCAGCTATGCCACCACTGTCAGCATCCATGTGGGGGGTGGGGGGCGGCTGAAGCCAGCCAAAGCCCAGGTCAGGTTGAACCACCCTGCTCTCTTGGCCCCCACTCAGAAATCAATGGGTCCTCGAAGGGCCCAGGGAGCACCCGATGCCCCTTTCCACTTGTGAGTCAGGATGTCAGACATCCGGAAAAGCAAGGACTTGAACCTGAAACTACAGGTCCTTGGAACTCCATTCAGAAACGCAGACACTGAACACAGGCCTGAAATTTGCTGGAACTTTCCAACGTTAGGGATCTGCTTTAGCAAATGGCCCTCGTTACTTACCTTGATACTCAAATGGGTTTGGGAAGGGGATGTCATTAATATTTTGTTAATTAATATTATAAAATGATGTCTTTTACTGTTCGTTCTCAAGGGATGATAGGAAATTGAACAGTGAATGAAGTTACACACAGCCCAAATCAATGGTTCTGAAAATTTGGGGCATGCGACATTTTTGGAAACTAAATCTATTACAACTTGGCATATGCCCCAAGTTTAGTCTTGCTCCAAGTAGTCTTCCTAGGAATGCATTCTCTTAACCATTTGCTCGGTTTTTGTCTCTCTTCCAACTATCGACCCAGCCGTTTCATCTATCCACCTTCTTCTAATCTATCCATCCTCCCCACTTTTGCTTATTCAACATCTTTATTCACCCGTAAGACATCCATTATCCTACCAGCCCACCTAGTATCCATTCCTCCATCAATTTGTCTATGAGCTCCTCCATTTCTCCATATAATCACCTATCCTGTGTAGTCACCTATCTGTCCGTCTCTACCTAAATTTGTCCTTTCTAAGCGGCTTCTGAGCACTGGCACTGCCAAACCTCAGTATAAAAACTACAGTCCCTTGCTTGCTAACACCAGAGCTTAAGTTAGGAGTCTGTCCCGCAGCTGTCTGATTCCCCTTGGCAACTACTCCCCACCCCCATCTTCATGAATATCCCAATTCTTGTGCCCACACACACACACCAGATCCCTTCACACCCTCTTCCCAGTTTGGGACCGTCTACAGTGCCTCTCCTCTCTTCCCCTGAAATATTCAGGTCACGGGGACAAAGAGCTTTTTTATATTAGGATCCTTCAGCCCACTCCTTCCAGCAGTGGCACCCCCCCAGTGGGAAGCATAATCTAAGCAGTTTCTTTGGCAACAGTATTACCTTTCTTCATCAAAGAACTCCTTGTACTTTAACATTTAAAAAAAACCCAAAACCAGCCAACCCATTGTCAACAAGTCCCCCTCAGTGACCCTATAGGACAGTTACATTGTTTCCAAGGCTGTAAATCTTTACAGAAGCAGGCTGCCACATCTTTCACCGGGTGGGGTCAGCAGCTACATACTTAACCATTGCATTACCTAAACTCACTGCTTCAGTGTATGGTTTAAGCTTCCCTGGAATTGTGTGCGACACCAGAGACAAGAATCCATTCTGTGAGTTCAAGCCTACTAGGTATGTGACTCTGAGCCCGTTTTGTTTTAAGGGCTCAGTGAGAATACTTTTCCTTTCAGAATGATCTTCTGACAGCTAGGCACATTTGTTAAATCACTCTCAAAAATATAGCTCCAGCCTACTGAGTCAGAACATCGAGGGCAGGGGTCTAGGAAGCTGAACTTTTAGCAGTCAACAGCAAAAAAGCTCAGCAGTACCGTTTACCGTTGTGAGACTCGTCACTACCTGGAATACTGCCTTGGTTCCTCTTAGTTATGAGGTCACTAATGAGTTATCACGAGTGCTTACTGACATTTGAGCAAGAGTGAGGCTTTGTTCAATTCTGCAAAATCTGGTACCCAATCCAGAGGACATAGGTAGCCATGCCAGCCACAGGGCGCACCTAAAACTTTATCCTATTCTGAGAAGGTCCTTCCTTCCCTCCAGCTCATTGACTGAGTACCATGGAATTAACAATCTTCACCCAGACGTTGCCTATTAACTTTTATTGGCTATATTATTTAAAGTTCCTAGTAAATGGGTTCCTTCCTCCTCCCCCAATTCATTCTGTTCACGTATCTCAGGAACACAAGCCCCCTGTTGCTATGTGAATCAACAATCTAAGCCTGCTGTCACAATCTCCTGGGCCCTTGATTTCCTGATGGACCATCTTGAGAATTTCTCACACCATGGGTTCATAGTCTCTGCAGATGTGTCCCAGCTGTGCTGGGAGTGAAGCAAGACCTTCATTTGAGTTAATTCCCTTTCAATCCTTCCAATATCTTTAAAAAGCAAGCAAGTGGGTTCTCATCTCCATTTCTGAGATGAGGACATTTGAGGCATAGAATTACAGGACTTTTTAGTCACAGGAGGGCTAGGATCTGAACTCAACCTATCTCAAACCTGTGCTCTATTACTGGGAGTCGGGGTTAGGGTGGCTCTAAAAGCCTGTGGAAAAATAATGCAATTTCCCACAAACTTTGAAACTCCTTTTTGTGTGTGTTGTGTCCCTTTGCCACTTAACACAACACAGACACAAGACGGGACATTTCCCTGCCAGAATGAGGCTTACAGTCTGATGCTCTAAAGGCCCCACATGACTCAGTTACCTGACCAGCTGGTACAGGGCTCAATAAAATCATGGTTAAGTACAGTCCAGTCAGTTCCTACCCATAGCAACACTAAGTTTCTGAGGAGTGGCTGGTGAGCTTGAACCACCAACCTTGTGGTTCAGCACAATGTTAGCTGGCGCTTTTATTCACAATGCTGACTGGGAAAGACAATAGCTACAATGGACTTAAGCATTGAACTGATCATAAAGATGGTGCCAGACAGACCGTGGTTACGCACAAGGCCATGGAATTGGAGTCAACTAGACAGCAACCTCCAACTTGTGGAGCTGGCCTTTCCCTCCTCCGCGGGCCCCAGCTGCAGATTCCCAGCCACCCCCAGCTGCATTCTCTGCTGAAACAAAGTTCCCAGCCTGGCCCAGGCTCCCAGCCTGGCCCAGGCTCCCAGCGGCGCCGGAATTCCCGGTATTCAAAGAGGCGGAAGGGAGGGAGAAGGGGGCTGTCTCCACCACAGCCTGGATTAGGGAAGGAGGCAAGCTCCTCATCCTTTCTTTGCAGATGTATCCCAGCTGTGCTTCTGGGAGTGAAGCAAGACCTTCACTAAAAAAGGGCTCAGGGAAGACCAGGGGTGTTAGGCCTGCCTCAGCTGACCCCCTCCCTGGTCTGTACACCATTCCCCTACTTCGGGTCCAAGGTCTCCTTGAGAATACCTGCCGCACCAACCGGTCAGCTCTCGGTGGAACATTTAGGCTAAAGCAAGCTAAAACCCAGTTAGCCAAACTTTGCCTGTTTCACTTCAAACATGGCAATACCATATCCACCTCAACCAGGGCAATTCTTAACGAAACACCTAGCTAGTGCTTATCAACCTCACCTACTCTGTAAAGAATCTTTCAAGGTGTTGTCCGTTAACTAACTGTCCTGAATGGTAGAAATGCCCTATCACCTAAGAATAAGAAAGCCCAGCACATGGTTGTATTTACACTGCAGTGTGGCCTGTGTTTAGTGCAAATTGATAAAATGGACCAATGTGGAAGGAAGGACTCCATCTCCAGTTCCTCCTTTTATTATAAAGTACGTTTCGTTTTGTGAAACTTTCCCCCTCACTCAATATGCAAGTGAGGTCTCATGTATTCTCAGCAATGAGTAGTATGGGACCCCACATGGGGTTGTCTAGTTAAAGACCCATCCTGATGCTCCCACAGGGTTAAGCGTTTTATGCTACTAACCACAAGGTTAGTGGCTCAAACCCACCAACTGCCCTGTGGCAGAAAGATGAGGCCAGCCGCCCCAGTAAAGAATGACATTCTCTCAAACCATCAGTAGTTCTACTCTGTCCCTTGCTAAGTGCCACTGAGTCAGTTCTGATTGGTAGTGACCCTGTATTGGGTTTCCAAAGAGTGTCTGGTGGGTTTGAAGTGCCAACCTCTTGGTTAGCAGTACACTGCTTATCCTATAGCACCATACACTGTTTCTTAGGATTGCTGTAAGCTGAAATCAACTTCACAGCAGTGATTTGGTTTAGTTTGGGATCGATGGCCCCACGGATTAAGCACAGTCCTTGAAACCTTAAAATCCCATAACCCTTGTTTATTATAAAGGAGAACCCTCCTCCTTGTGGTGGGCTTATCGGTAGGATTTCTGGTAGCGAGCACGGGCACCTGGACCCCCAAACTTCTTGGATTCGCAGCGACGGGGATCAGCAACCAGCAGGGTCCGGTCGTATTGGATGAGGATGTCTTTGATCTCTTTCTTGGAAGCCTCATCCACATCTGGGTAGAAGAGAAGAAAGAGGATTTAGGTAGCTATGGAGACTTTCTGTGATTCTAAGGCCAGAGCTGGTCCTGGACTTGTCCCCCCCAATCATCAGATGGGAAGGACGCACTCTAACTTACATTTCTGGTAATAGGCAACCAAGGCTTTGGAGATGGACTGGCGGATTGCTGTGGGATAAAAAGGAGCATATTAACTCTACGAAGGTCCAAGACAAGGGCCCTGCTCCCAGAGCTGCCTCCCACCAGAGTTCCTGGGACTCACCATAAATCTGGGCCACGTGGCCACCACCTTTCACACGAACACGGATGTCTACACCTGCGAACCGCTCTTTGCCCAGAAGGAGAACGGGTTCCAGCAGCTGGAAGAAAGGGTTTTAAGATCACAACCAGGCAGCAGAATCCCTCCTTTCCCTTGCACATAGCTTTTGTCACCTCTCAAAGTACTAGTCAAAGGAAGGTGAGCCCCCATCCTGAGAACCTCTATTGGTGGAAGCAGCCAGACTATTGAGATGGGAGGAAATGTCACTTAATAGCCTCTGAATAGGAAAATGTCACTGCGGGGTAGTCAGGTGCCTTTTCTCTAGGTTTCCTGCTCCATTTGATCCTCACACCCATTTCCAAAGAAATTACAATTATACCTACTCTTCACTTACTACCTCATAATCCAACATCATCTCAGTTATAACTATAGCAAAAAAGAACACTACTATCCAACTATCTCATGCATAACTATGTACACCAGGCAGTAACAAATGCCTAGGTGTGAGGTAAGAACAGTGTGATGGTTATAATCATGCTTATCTTGGTTGACCTGGCTATGATTTTCCATGGATGAAATTTGGCAGGTGTCTAATGATGTAGTCACCCTCCACTTGTGTACTACTGATGATTTTTCACATAACTATCTGGTCTTTGGACCATGTCAATTGGTGAGGACTGGAATGGGATGTACACTACACACCTACATTATGTTTGCCCCTTCTCAGCTCTAGATACTATGTATGTCCATGTTTCTGCTTCCTGGAACACTACTCCCCAGCTCTGACCACCTCCCACCCAGGTCTGAGCCAGAAGCCTTGTAATTAATTTATCCTCACTGGTAGCCCTTTGAGCTAGGATTTGCTATTTTACAACAAACTCAAGGCAGATAAATCAAGTGACTTGCTTCGAGTAACAGCAAGAAAAGGCAGAAATCGTTCTGGGCCAAAGAAAAAGAGGATGGCACATTAAAAGGGGCAGGGGGCGACCCCTTCACCCACCCAAATCAATTATTTACACAAACTGACATTCTGTTCTGTTCCTTGAGCCATCTACAATGCCCAGACCACTTTAGATAGCAAAACTTATCAGAAATAAACATCAATTCTTATCTTTGAGTAGCTTGTTCTGTAAAGCACCTTCTACGTTCATGCTCATTCTCCCCTCAACTCCGCTTTTATCTTCTGCATTTCAAGCACATCTTTATCGAGAAATCCGACCCATCAGTCTCTAAACATTTCGATGTTAATAACAGACCTCTCAGGGGCGAGATCCACAAATTCCAGAACCCAACTGTGTTTTAACAGTTCCATCTTCAGAGCCCCCCCACCACTCCACCCGTAAACGCCCTTCCCTCCAAATCCAGCACCTTGTATTGCAACGTGCGTGGTTCAATCATCTCCAAGGGTCGCCCGTTCACTTTGATGAGGCCGTTGCCCCGTTTGCAGTGCGCTACTGCTGTGGCAGTTTTCTGTGGGGAAAGGGAGAGCGAACGGGGCCACGTGAGTTTCGAGGCCCCAACTCCCAGGCTGACCCCAAACCCATACCCGCCGGTGTCTCCCAGATCCCGTCCTCCTCGTTTCCGTCCCAGTGGGCGCCAGGTCAACCTTGCGTCCGAAGACTTGCACCGACTGCAGCGGACCCTTGGACGGCATGGTTGCTGGTGTTGAGAGATCTTCACCGCGCGGCGTAGCAACCGGAAAAGGAAGCTGCGGGGCCTCCCCAGCCGCTTTTTCAGGGTCTGCGCAGGCGCCGTGAGCACTACGTCGCGACGAAAGGGAGTTTTACGGCTCTTGTCGTCGCCAGGGACGGAGCCTTGGATTCGCAGAAGAGAGGTGGATCATGGGAACGCAGAGGGTGCGTTCTTGTATGCGGAAGGGGCGAGGCCTGAAGAGTGACGGCTTTGGTTGTCGTGCATATCGTCTGCTTTTCTTGGTCAACCTCCATTTTAATATTTCTTACTTGGTCTCCCACTATTTTTGAAAACCGTCCTCTCCTAAATTACCTTCTACACACTTGGGTAATCTTCCTCGTCTCCCTAGTTTTTCCCAGAATCTCCTTAAAAGTCTCCCTCCCCTTAGAATTAACTTTTCCCAGAACCCGTTGCAAATTTCTCCTTTCTCTCAAGGCCAGACTTGGCCTCCTTTCTCAAAATCTAGTTTTCCCTAGAACGTCATTCCCTTCAGAACCTACTGTAATGCCAGAAATTCAAGCAGGATTCAGAAGAGTATGTGTCATCATTGCTGACGTCAAATGGATCTTGGCTAAAAGCAGAGACTACCAGAAAGATGTTTGTTGTTGTTGTTAGGTGCCATCGAGTCGGTACCAACGCATAGCGACCTTATGCACAGCAGAACGAAACAGAAACACTGCCCAATCCTGAGTCAGCCTCACTACTGTTGCCATGCTTGAGTCCATCTTTTTCTCTGACCCTCCACCTTACCAAACATGATATCCTTCTCCAAACTGGTCCCTCCTGACAATATGTCCAAAGTATGAGAGACGAAGTTTGGCCATCCTGGCCTCCAAGAAGCACTCTGGCTGCACTTCTTCCAAAACGAATCTATTGGTTCTCTTCGCAGCCCATGGCACTTTCAATATTCTTCTCCAACACCATAACTCAAAGGCATCAATTCTTCTACGGTCTTCCTTATTCACTGTCCAGCTTTCGCATGGATATGAAGTTATTGAAAATACCACGGCTTGGGTCAGGCACACCTTAGTCCTCAAGCTGACATCTTTGCTCTTCAATACTTTAAAAAGGTCTTGTGCAGCAGGTTTGCCAATGCAATACGTCGTCTGATCTCTTGGCTGCTGCTTCCCGTGAGTGTTGATAGTTGATCCAAGAAGAATGAAGTCCTTGACACCTTCAATCTTTTCTCCATTGATAAGAATGTTGTTTATTGATCCAGTGGTGAGGATTTTTATTATCTTTACCTTGAGATGCAATCCATACTGAAGGCTGTGCTCTTTGATCTTCATCAGTAAATGTTTTAAGTCCTCTTCACTTTCAGCAAGCAAGGTTGTATCATCTGCATACCGCAGGTTGTTAATGAGTCTTCCTCTAATCCTGATGCCATGTTTTTCTTCATAGAACCCAGCTTCTGGGATTATTTGCTCAGCATACAGGTTGAATAAGTATGGTGAAAGAATACAACCTTGTCGCACACATTTTAAAATTTTAAAACATTCTGTGTTCCCATGTTCTGTTCGAACAACTGCTTCTTGGTCCAGGTACAGATTCCTCATGAGCACAATTAAGCGTTCCGGAATACTCATATTTGCAATGTTGTCCATAGCTTGTTATGATCCACACAATCGAAAGCCTTTGCAGAGTCAATAAAGCACAGGTAAACATCTTTCTGATATTCTCTGCTTTCAGCCAAGATCCATGGGACATCAGCAATGATATCCCTCCTCCCACGGCCTCTTATGAATCCAGCTTGAACCTCTGGAAGTTCTCTGTCAATATATGATTATAGCCATTTCTGTATTACCTTTAGCAAAACTTTACTTGCTTGAGATATCAAAGAGATTGTCCGATGAGTTCCGCATTCCGTTGGATGTTTGTTGTTGTTGTTGTTATGTGCTGTGGAGTTGGTTCTGACTCATAGCAACCCTGTACAGGGTTTCCAAGGCTGTAAATCTTTATGGGAGCAGAAAGCCTCATCTATCTCCCGCGGAACACCTGGTAGTTTCTAACTGCTGACTTTGCAGTTCGCAGCCCAATTCGTAACCACTACGCTACCAGAGTGTTTTTTTACTTTTTTATTGGTTTTGGTTTTTTTGGTTCTTAAAAATTATGGATAACATTGCAGACTCCAAAACACAAAGTTGGCAGTTGGACTTCAAAACACAAAGTTGGCAGTTCAAACCAACCATCTGCTCCTTGTAAACCCTATATGGACTCAATGGCACATAACATTACAGAGAATCGAAATCCCAGGACACTTAATTGTCCTTATGAGGAACCTGTATATAGACCAAGAATTTGTTGTTGCTGTTGTTAAGTACCGTGGAGTTGGTTCCAATCCATAGTGACCCTGTATAGGGTTTCTGAGGAGCAGCTGGTGAGTTTGAACCACCAACTTTGCTGTTCAAACCGACGTTGCTGTCCAGCACCTTTCAAAATCAGGAAAGGTGTGCTTCAGGGTTGTATCCTTTCACCATACTTATCCAGTCTGTGTACTGAGCAAATAATCCAAGCTGGATTATGTGAAGAAGAATGTGGCATTAGGATTAGAGGAAGACTCATTAACAAGCTTTGACACTCAGATGATACAACCTTGGTTACTGGAAGTGAAGAGGACTTGAAATACTGATAAAATACGGGTTTCACTTCAGTATGGGCTGCACTTCAATGTAAAGAAAATAAAAATCCTCACAACTGGGCCAACAAATAGCATCATGATAGACAGATATAAGATTAAAGTCATCAAAAACTTCATTTTGCTTGGATCCACAATCAATGCTCATGGAAGTAACAGTCAAGAAATACGATGTATTGCGCTAGGCAAATCAGCTGTAAAAGACTTCTTAAAAAGATAAAAAGCAAAGATGTGATGTCACTTTGAGGAGTAAGATGCACCTGACTCAAGTCATGGTAATTTTCAATAGCCTCATATGCATGTGAAAGTTGAATAATGAAGAAAGAAGACTGGAGAAGAATTGATGCATCTGAATTATGGAGTTGGTGAAGAATACCGGAAACACCATGGGCTGCCAGAAGAACAAGGCAATCTGTCTTGAAAGCAAAGTACAATGAGGATGGTGAGACATCATCTCTTATACATTGGACATGTTGTCAGGAAGGACTAGTTCCTGGAGAAGGATATCATGCTTAGTAAAGTGAAGGGTCCTGGTGTGGCGCTGTAGATTAAGCACTCTGAATTGTAAGGTCGGCAGTTCAAACTCACCAGATGCTCCTCAGAAACCCTACACAGGGTTGCTATGAGTCAGAACCAACTTGACAGCACTTAACAACACAGTGGAGGGTCAGAGAAAAAAAGGACGGCCCACAACAAGTTGGATTGACACAGTGGCGGCGGCAGCAACAGGCTCAACGATGTAACAATTGTGAGAATGGCTCAGGAGCGGGCAGTGTTTCATTCTGTTGGGCACAGGGTGACTATCAGTTGGAACCAACTCGAGTGCACCTAACAAACAAATAATAACAACAACGGAACCCTCTTCAGGAGCCTTGGTGGTGCAATGGGTTAAGTGTTGGGCTGTTAACCACCAGGTCAGCAGTTCAAACCCAGCAGGCACTCTGTGGGAGAAAGATGAGGTTATCTGCTCCTGTACAGTCTCAGGAACCCTAGGGGAGTAGTCCTACCCTATGAGTCAGCATTGTCTGGACAGCAGTGGGCTAATCTTCTTCTCAGAGATACACTAGCAATAGCCCCCTCTTCAGGTTCTCTGGTGGTGGTGTTAAGTGCTGACTCATAGTGACCCTGTATCAGATTTCTGAGGAGCGGCTGGTAGGTTTGAACCAACAACCTTGGGTTCAAGCCTCCCTTACAGTCCAGCGCTTTACCCTACAGTGCCACATCAGGACTCCTCAGGGTTCTTTACCCTAGTTAAATATCTCTTTTTGTCTAGAACCTCCAAAATCATCTCTTCGCTTTCTCCCCGCAAAACCCTTCTCGCTAGACTTCTTCCCCACAGAATTCTCCAGTCCAAACCCCAGTCCCTTCAACATCATCTCAGGAGACCCAGGTTTGGGTTGCCTCCTACTTCCCCAATAGATTCATTCCACTCAAGAGTGTACCTTCCCAACTGAGAAGTTCCTCTCTTGAGCTCAGGAGGCCTAAGGTGGCCTCAGTTTGTCACACAGCACAGGATCTGAGGTCCAAGGTTCAAAGGGGTGTGGTGGCTCACCTTGGTCCTGGGAGGGTGGAGACAGGGTAGAGAGAAGAGGCCAGATCTGGGGCCAAAGGGTGCGTCCAGCCCAGAGTCCAGCTTCAAAAGGGTGAGAGAGGGAAATGAGTAAGGGGGAGGGAGGAACAGAACCCACGGAAACAGACTTGGAGGAACACACAGACAGACACCGCACAAGAGAGCAACAAAGACCAAGATGGGCTCAAGAGAGAACAGGTGGAACAAGAAGAGAGACATCAGGTCAGTCAGAGATGGACACAGAAAACGCAAGTCCCATATAGGGACGCCGATGACAGAGGCTAGCACCCAGAGAAAGAAAAGGCAGGCAGATAGATATAGGCAGGTACAAAGGTTCCCAGATACTAGACAGAAATAAATGGAGAGCCAAATCTAAAACCAAGCCCACCGCATTGAGCCGATTGTGACTCACAATGACCCTGTAGAACTTCTCCTTGGGGTTCACAGCTCTTTGGGGTTTCCGAGACTGTAAATCTTTTATAGGAGCAGACAGTCACATCTTTTCTTCCACGGAGTGGCTAGTGAGTTTGAACCACCGACCAATGCTAACCAACTGCATCACCAGGGTTCCTTCCAACGGAAATAAAAAGAGCAGGGTCCCCTAAATACACACCTGTAGACACACATAAAGCCTAACATAGGTGTCTTTTTAGAAGGACACCCATTTTAGGCCAGACAGACAGCTGCTAGTCAGGCCTGGTGACAGGGAGGGTCCAAAATTCTCCAGTCTCCCACATCTTTGCTAAATGTGGTGTCTTCCTGGAATCTGGCTATCAGGGTGTCTAGCTCTCTCTACTCTGA